AAGCCAGTGGCCTGGCCAGGAAAGCCTCCTAATTTAGGAATATAGTTCACTACTAAACATCTCAAGCATCACACCTGTGAAGAGGATATTCTGCTTCTGAGGATGCCATAGCATTAGTGGACCCCTTTCTCCCCACACACCTTCCTGTTCACCAACATCAGGCATTTATGGAATGGCCGCCTAGAGTTACAGGATATGCAATAGGCCTCTGGGTCAAGCCAATTATAAGCCTAATTTAGTCCCCTAAGGAACTGAGCTAAATCAGCCACGTATCAAATTTTTACACACAAGATTGATCTAAGAATGGCCACAATATGTTTTTTCCGATAGGGAGGACCACGCAGCAAGCCAAACAAAAGCTAGACGGGAGAACAAGACTAAACCGAGCCAAGGAATATAGAACCAACAGGAAAAAAGGAAAGGAAATTAAAACAATGTTAATATGCCATTTATAATCCAACTTAGCCACAGAGCCACCCCTCTGCCACAAAAAGGTACTTCTAGTCACCATTACCTTTTATCTTCAGCAACTGTAATTCTTATCCACAAGTACTGCGTCATATCCTTTCATTCAGAATTATAAATAATTCAGAGATTATTTTCATAACCAGCATGCATGCAATGTATGGCAAATGCATGGGCAAGGTGGATTTCCCCTCCCTTCCCCTTGCCAAAATCCCAGCCAGATCTGCATTTGTCCTCTGCTCTTCTTCCTCTGACCTCCTGGCCTGCATGCAAACTACATTCATGTTAACCAGTTCTTGGCTATGACAATCCACTCTGCTGCAGGAACTCCTACTACACACCTGCCCTGCTGATGTTTTCGGAATTGTTCTTTTTTCTAACATTCCCTCCTCCTGGGAGGATGATATGAAGATCAAGGAGTTAATGTTTGTCAAATACTTTAGGCGTCTCAGATGAAAGGCAACATTAAAGCTTAAGCAACCTGAGGCTGGCATTCCAGGAGAGGTGTTGAAGTTGACTCTATATTTGGGCTTCAAAGAAGGAAATAGGATTGGTTCCTTTGGGAAGCTTTTGCCTTTCTTGCTAAAGGCAGGCAGATGTATTCGAGCATTCTTTAATTAACTGGATTTCAACATCAGAAATACCAGGATCCTTCTGTTAGTCCTGGTCCCTGTTACAGTAAGTAGTGCACAAGGGAAAAAAGGACCCTTTTCTCAGCCCTTCTCTAAGCGGCTTTCCTTCCTCAAGCTTCCCTTCTGCCTGGTCTTGCAAATGTCAACCTCCTCCTACAGGAGGGGCCACATGGCAGCTGCCAGCCAACACGTTTGCTTTGAGCCAATAGACCAAAAAAAAAAAAGACAAAGCTTTATGTGTATGTTGGCACACATGTGAATTCAGGCTAGCTGTTGGGGGGAAATAATGACACAAAGAGCACATTCATGGCCACGGAGAAGTCCTCGAACATATAAATAGCCATCCATGACCCAGCACCTACTCCGTGTGAGGCGCTGTTAGAAGGGGGACATATAGCATTACACTGGATCCTCCATAATTATTCTGCCAAGTTAGATACCACCGGCCCCAGCATGGACATGAAGACACTGAGACTGAATTTGACATTCTGAAGGGCTGTGAGGTTCATCCAGCACCACCCAGCTAAGAACATGGCAGAACCGGAATTCAAACCCAGCTCTATTGTGAACTACTACCCGTGGCTCCCCCTTGGACGCTCACTGAGCCCTCCATGGGGCTCAGACAGAGGAAAGGTAAATTACGTCATAAGGAGGGATCACAGTCTTATTTTAGATGTTACTCTTAACCTCCTTTTTTTTTTTTTTTTTTTTACCAAAACTTGTTTGTTTTCCCTTTCTCTTTTTTAATCAGCGCAAGCAGCAATTATTTAATTGGCTCATTAAGTATTTCATCTTATCTCCTTTCCCCTGCCTTATCTCTAACAAAGTGCACAGCACTGTTCTGAGGCTTAGAGTGAGTTCAAAAAATACACAGTGCTTGGTGACTATGCAAAGAAGTTCAAATGCAGTATAGGAGGTGAAGAAGGACAAGAATATGAACCCCAGGTCGGCTACAATGTGCAATCAAAGGGCTTATGTTGGCTTCCCATTTTTTTTTTAATTAATTAATTTTTGTTACAGATGTTTCTCCTTTTTCCCCCACTGATTCCCCCCTCCCCCTCCCTCCCTGCCCTTTCCCCAGTTTGTTGTCCATGTCCACTGTTCATGAATACATGCATGTAAGTTCTGTGGTTTATCTCTCCCCACCCCACCCCCATTTAGGGGGTTGTCAGTCTGTACTTCGCTTCCGCGTCTCTGGGACTACCCCCCTTGCTTCCCATTTTAAGAACAAAAAACATAAGTCCTTAATAAGGCCAGAAAGCACTAGAAGAAAAAAAAAATCGCCATCCTTCTCGAGCCCTGGCCCATCCATTCAGGACAGTAAGAACTCTCCTAAAAATTCTGATGCTTCTCTGAACTCTCTACATTCTTCCCCATTAAAACAGTCTAACTGTTCTTCCCATGACAGCTGTCCTTGCCACACACCTGAGTAGCTGAAGTGTTACTAATAACTACGTGTTTAAGCCAGTAGCAGAAGCTGGTAAGGTACGCGGATTTAGCAAGAAAGAACTTCTCTCACGCAGGAAAGCGCCCATCAAGGGGCTGTTCTTGAGATAAGAGAAGGAGTTTGTGGAGGGGCCTGGATAAATACCCAAACTGTAGGAAGTCAGGGTGCTCTTCCACTCTGATGCACTGGCCTGAGGTCACTGAAAGCTGGCCCTCTGCCACCTCAGCCAGGACTCAGCTACTATGAATAATACTACAACGCCACTCAGCCCAGTGAAGAGGCACCCTTGAAAGGCAAACCACGCCGAGAATGTTACTGCACTAGCAGGAACGTTTCCAGGCAGGATCTGCTGAATCCCGGACCATCAAGTTACAACAACCTGCTAGTAGAAGTTTTTATAAAGTTTCCGAGGAAGGAAAAGTCGTCCTCACAACTGTGCTGAAGCAATCATGACTTTGAAAAGTAGAGCATACTCGAACAGACACAGAGACACATACATAAACTCAGTCTGCACAGCATGGCCACCCAGTCAGCTCCCGTGCGTTAGGGCTATCATTTCAATGGCACAGGTTTTCAACCCCATCACCAAAAGATAGGTAACTTTTATGCAAGAGTCTGTACCGCAGCAGCCGCAGCATTATCACCTATGGCAGTCAAGCTGCTCTTTAAAAGGGAATCAATACCTTTCTGAATGAAACCCTGCATGGGCCAATTAGCGCCAATTAAAATTTAGATGGTCGCAGAACTGCTGCTCCCAGTAGAAACAGCATCAGGCATGGAGGTGTGTCCAAAAGGAGACTGCTCCTCTGGAAGATATTTGGATCCCATCAGTGGGTAACATGCTTCCAGTTTCATTTCTGTTATATGTGTGCGCGTGTGTGTACATTCATATACACATACATAAAATATATCTATATAAAATATAGATATACATAAAATATATCTCTCTATATATAGATATATATTTTTTTTTTTTAAATGCTGCCCCTGCCCTGGCCGGTTTGGCTCAGCGGCTGGAACGGGCCCGCAGTCCAGAGAGTCCCGGGTTCGGTTCCCGCTAAGGGCATGTACCTCGGTTGCAGTTTGTCCCCGGCCCCGGTTGGGGTCGTGTGGGTGGCAACCAGTCGATGTGTCTCTCTCACATTGAGGTTTCTCTCTCTTCCCCACCTCTCTCCTTCCCGCTCTATCTAAAGATAAATGCAAAAATATCCTCGGGTGAGGATAAAAAAATAAAATAAATAAAATAAAATGCTGCCCCTGCAACACTGTCCATAAATACCCTCTGGCCTCCAGACAGGTATGACCTTTTCGTACCTTTTCTTTGGATGACTCTCACTCTGCACAAGCTGTTTCCTCCAGGTAATCGCAACCTCACCCCCGGGACCAAGCTTTCCCTGGCAATTCTCACAACACTGTAATTCCGCACTGGCCTGTGGGTTTCCTCCAGGAGGCTGCGGTGAGATCTTGTTTTAGCACCTTTATGGCCTTGCTCCTAGCACAGAGTAGAAGCTCAGTGCTAGGTCATCTGAATGAATGAGTGAACTAATGGATTTTAAGAAATCAGAGTATTGGTGGAAACCCTGTAACCATACATGCAGCCTGTAGTCTACAGATTCCTCACCTTCACAAGAGCCTGAAACACCCAGTTCCTGAAAACCCCACAATAACCTTAAATTGGGGATGGGGGTGACAAGGACAGAAGGAAAAGGGAAACGGAGGTAGGGGCAGTGCAACCTCCCTGCTCCTTCAAAAAGGTGGAAACCCCACTTACAAGTATTCAAAACCCTGACTTAGAGTATATTAACCAGAGAGAGTATATTAACACCATCCTCAGAAGTTGTTAATACAGAGATTTGAAAGTTTGAGGTGGAGACCTATTCTGAAATTATGTGGCCACAGGTTTTCCCTATGAGCCAGCCCGACCACCCAAGTAGGAGCCAAGAAGCCCCGGAGTTTGGTGGCACGGCTGGGGCCTAGTGGGAAGGCATAAAAACTCCTCTCCCTCCCAAGATCCTGTTCCCCTGCGGGACAGAGGCGGGAAGGGAGCCTGCCCCTCTCCGCTGGAGCGTCAGCAATGTCGTTGTCTTTCATCCTCCTGTCCCCATCTCCTGGGTATCTCCAGAGGCCCTTTCGAGGCCCTCTCTCATGCCCAAAAAGCAGAAGGGAATGAGGAGGAGGGGGCGAAGGTGTGGGTTTAACCACAAGCTCTCCAGACAGCTCTCACCTTCCTCCTTGACGCCCCAGACAAGCTGCGCGCCTCACAGAGGGCGGCTCCCACTGCGACAGAAAACTCCTGCGGCCCGGCCACCTCGCGCCCCCGCTGCCCTGTCCGCGTCCCGGGCCGCCGATCCCAAGGTGGCTTTGCCAGCTTTTGCCCAAGTCATCCGCAAGGCGCCCGGGGCGCGCAGGCGACCCCCAACCTCGGGCCCGGCGTCCCCGCCCCAGACGGAGCTTACCTGCTTACATGGCCCGGTCGGAGCCCTGGAGTCCCGCGAGGAAAGGCTGTCCTTCCGCCGCGGCGGAGCCCCAATTCCCCAAGGAATTGATTCCAGTGGCTGGCGGAGGAGGGGCGAAGGGAAAGAGCCGGAGGAGGCGAAAGGGAAGGGAGGGCTCCGCAGCGATCCGGGCGCAAGAGTCGGCGCAGGGGCGCACGGAGCAGGAGAAAAGGAGAGCCACCTAAGCCCCAGGGTGTCCCGCCCGATGGAGGGAGTGAGGGGGCGAGGCCAGGGGGCGGGGGAGGATTGCTCGAGTGGGAGGGAGGGACCGCCAGCGGCCACTTTGTGCCTGCCGCTCCCCGAGGACCTGAGCCGGCGGGGCAGGCAGCAGAGCGAGCAGGAGCGCAGCAACCTGCCCGCTGCCTGCGCCCGCTCGGGGAGGAAAAGTTGGGAAGAACTTTTAAGGGCCGGGAGAGCCCGAGCGGCAGGAAACGCGAGCAGCCGGGAGAGGAGGGAGGAAGGGGCCGTGCGAGTGGGAGGGGACGGAGCAGGCGCCGGCGGCCGCGATTCCCCCACCCCCGGGCCGGCTCGGCAGCGCTGGGGGCCGGGAGGCGGAGGGAGCGCGGGGCGCGCGGCCGGGGGCGGGAGGAATGCGGCCGGGCGCGCGCGACGGGGGCGGGGGCGCGCGCGGGGAGCGCGGAAACGTGGAGCCCGAGCTCCGGCGCTGGAGCGCGCGGTCCCCGGGGACGTCACAGCGCTGGAATCCGAGGAATGCCGGGCTGCGGGAGCTCCTTCTGCAGGCCCGGGGGAAGTCGCACACTTTTAAACGTGGTAGGTTTGGAAGACGTTGGTGGAGGTGGGGGCGGAGGCCGGAGGACGGGACTCAAGTCCCTGGAGTGAGCCGCAGGACTGGCGAGGGAAAAGCGACCACAGCCGACCCAGCCTCGCGCCGCTCCCGGCGGGGGCGGGAGGCCGGGAAATACCCCACCGAGACCTAGGAAAAGCGCAGGGCAGGACAGCGGCAGCAGCTTGCCCACTCCGGCAAGCACAGTCCGTCCTATATTGGGGACCCTCCAGGCAGGACACCCCCCTGTAGCCACTGCACAGGGGAAGTAGAACAGGAGATGATAAGGTGGCTGCACCGAGCCGCCAGTCTCAGAATTCTCTCTCCAGGACACCCGGCACCTCAGGAGTATTAATCCACCTACCCACCCCTACACACACACCCACACACACCCCTTCTGCTGGGATCGCAAAAGTAGGCTGTGCGTGCCGGGAGTTGGTGCAGGTCGTTTTCCTGGTTCTTTCCAAGCCACAAACCGCCCCACCCTGCCAGAGTAGGCACAGGGAGGGAACTTCCTTAGCACTTTCGGAGGTGGAGTTAATGAGACGCAGCCGGTTTGATGGAAAAAGCACGGAGCCAGGAGAGGGACCCAGGGTGGTAGGCCTTGCCCTGCTGGTGACCGATTGGATCACTGAGGAGTTTTCCAGCGGAATACCCTGTAGCTGTAAGATTAAAGAGTTTGCCTACATTTTCTGTGGTCTTTTGCACTACTCAAGACATGCTGTAGGAATCTGTTATCTTACCGGGACTCAAGCCCAATCCCTTTGACCTTTCTTAGGTGGAAAAGGGCCCTTGAAGTCATTGTGGCAGAAGATGCTGATCCAGATTACTTCACTGTCCCACAGCTCATTCAAAAATCCGGGGCCTCTTGGGGGATGGATCGATCGGGAAACCCAAAAGCAAAGCCTCTTGTACCCATCATGGGCAGATTTGTGGTGACTGCCTTTTCTGAGCATTTGACAATCTCCAGAACTAAATGAAGTAGAGAAGAGTCTACAAGGGATAGAAGGGGGAGGTTGAAGGGAATTAAGATCCGTTTCTCAAACTTCCAAGGAAACAGCTGGATAGCTTCGATGTGGATTTGTTGGCTTTCCAAAGAAAATTAGGAAGTGCCTTACTGTGGTCCAGGAAGTGTGGAAAGCACTTGGTGCTCCTATGTTATCATCCCCATTTCCTAGATAAGGAAAGTGAGGCATGAAGAAATTACATATCTTACCCAGAGTCACACAGCACTCAGATCTGATAATGGAGCCTGGTCTGGTCTGGCCCAGAAATGCAAGCTACTTATCTCTTCAACATTTGAACAAAATAGGATCAAGATTAAAGATACGGAAATACCTGCAGGCTCCCCAGATAAAACCCAAACTCCTGCTCTTTCTCTGAGATAGGAAGCTTCTTAGGGTCCTAGAGGAAAGGAAGTGGCATTTGTATATTATTGCTCTAAAATCACGATAATACCAAACTCCCAGTACAGCAGCTAAGACAAGTGTGGTGAAGATGGAGCAAAGGGCTTGCACAGAGACAGGTTCTGCCTCTGACCAGCCCTATGACCTTGAGCAAGCAATTCACCTCAGGCCTGGGTTTATTTCTTTGTTATTGTTAATCGAGAGAGAGAGAGAGAGAGAGAGAGAGAGAGAGAGAGAGAAACATCTCTGTGTCATATCCATTGGTTGCCTCCCACATGACCACAACTGCAGCAGGGGATTGAACCTGCAACCCAGGTACATGTCCTCGACTGAGAATCGAACCTAAGACCCTTTGGTCCACAGGCCAACACTCTAACTGCTGAGCCATACTGGCCAGGGCCTGGGTTTCTTTCTTTCTTTCTTTCTTCTTTTTTTTTTTTTTTAAATTTTCTTTATTGATTTTAGAGAGAGAGAGAGAAAAACACTGATGAGAGAGAACATCAATTGGCCACCTCCTGCATTCCCCCCACTGGGAATCAGGCCCACAATCTGGGCATGTGCTCTGACTGGGAATCGAACTGGCAACCTTTTGGTACATGGGTTGCTGCTCAACCACTGAGCCACACCAGCTGTGCCTGGGTTTATTGTGTAAGTGGAATGTGACATGGAGGTCAGAGCTTGGTTGAATTAGTTCATATCTGAGGTCTTGCCCAGGTCTGAACTTGGAGGAATGTATATCAGGCAGATGACATCCTATGGAGGAAGCTACTAGTAAAGCCAGGATGTCAGAGGACGAGGACTATTTTCACACTGCCTCCAGAATAAAGATGAGTGTTGGGAACATTGCTGAGTGTTCAATGGAAAAAAAGGAAGAAAAAAAAAAGCCCTTGCCAGGTGGAGCATCACCCCATACACCAAAAGGTTGTGGGTTTGATTCCAAGTCAGGGCATATACCTAGATTGCAGGTTCGATTCCTGGTCAGGACACAAATGGGAGACAATCAATCGATGTTTCTTTTTTTCTTTTTTTTCTCTCTCTCAAATTAATAAAAGCATATCCTCGAGTGTGGATTAAAAAAAATAAAAAGCTAAGATTTAGTACTAATCCTGTAGACCAGCGCTTCTCAACCTGTGGGTCGCGACCCCTTTGGGTTTAGAACGACCCTTTCATAGGGGTCACCTAAGACATAACAGTAGCAAAATTACAGCTATGAAGTAGCAACAAAAATAATTTTATGGTTGGGGGGTCACCACAACATGAGGAACTGTATTAAACGGTCGCAGCATTAGGAAGGTTGAGAACCACTGCTCTAGACTTATTTTTAATTAATATATTTATTTTTTATCCTCATCTGAGGATATTTTTCCATTTTTTGTTCAGATTGAGTGGGAGAGAGAGAGAGAGAGAAACATCTACGTGAAAGGGACACATCGAGTGGTCGCCACTTGCATGACCCAACCAGGACCGGGGACAAACTGCAACCGAGGTACGTGCCCTTAGTGGGAACCGAACCCGGGTCTCTCTGGACTGCAGGCCGATGCTCTAACCGCTGAGCCAAACCAGCCAGGGCGACTTATTTTTAATTTAAATAATTTTACTTCTAAAAGAAATTCCTTTAAAAGCCCATAAAGTACATCTGATTAACCACAGTTTTTTAAAAAATAGATGCTAGAAAGTGCATGTAAGAATATTTTTTAAATAGGAAGTCCAACTTGAAGTGAAAAAAAAAAAGCCTTTTATTCTCTGGATAAATATATAAGAGCTAGTCACAAGCTTCTTTCCAAAAGAAAAAAAAAAACATTCCCCAAGTCTGCGTCACACTGAAGTCTCTTCAGTATGCATCAGAGTTTGGTTGATGGACTAGGTCCCAAAAACATCACTACGGATTTACTTGAAAGCTTTGTCATTTTAGGAAGCTAGCAATATAAATAACTCCCCAAATATTTCAACTTATTACAAGCCTTATTCAAACTACAAATACAGGCAGAATTTCCTGGGCCTCCATGATTCCTCCTATCTCAGAGTGTTCCTCATGTTAATTTATTAATATTACACCTTCAAAACATTGAAATCACTCAAAGCAGCACAGAACAAGCTCCCCAGTCAAAGCAAACTGGAAAGTGAGCAGGCTCTTGTAGCAAAACTGATGATCTCTAGGGACCTACTAATTTTTAAAGTCACATATATGTAATTATGATGACAATTAGTTTGTTTTTATCCTCAGTCTCATTCCAATTCCTTAAAGGATATTTGGCAGTTTATTTAGTAATAGAGGAAAAGAAAATTGGAGGCTTTTCAGCACACACAGCCTCTCTGTACTCCGTGCTTCCTTAGCTTATTCGTCTTATTCCATGGATCTAAGGTAGAGACTTGGATGGGTGTATGTATGTGTGTGTTTATAACATTTTAGACAGGATTGAGATATAATTCACATTCAAGAAAAAGTCCAAATCTTAAGTGTACGTACACTTGATGACTTTTTCATAAGGACACATCCACCACCCAGACCAAGATACAGAAAATCCACCACCTCAGAGATTTTCCTTGTGTGACTTCTCAGTATCACCTCTCCCCAGGTTGACTTCTACCGCCAAAGAGTAGTTCGGCTAGTTCTCAGACTTCATAAAACTGGAATGTGTTGTGTGTGCACATGTCACAATTTGCTTATTCATTCTCCTGTTGAGATATTGGGCAGGTAGATTTTGAAACATTTCCCAAGTAATTCTGTTATATCTAGCCCCTCCAATTCAGAACCACTGGTTTAGAACAAAAATATAATGAAATACGCCTAAATTATTCACACCTACAAAAATTACTAAGTGACAGAGAAGGAAAGGAAGAGAATATTTTAGAACCAAATTTAAGAGGACTTTAATGGTTGTATATATTCAGGGCTTCTTATCAATAAAAGCAAAGTAGGAAATTGACTGGAATATGAACTGCCTGTTATCTAGTGATTTTTTGTTGTTGTTGTTGT